ACACAGACACACACACGTACACACACCTCCTATCCATACCTTGTTTTCATGATGTGTTCACCCCGTGGGGTCTTCTGTGACTATTTCTTTTTCAAGCGGTTTTACTGAGGTGTAATTGATAATAAAAGTCCACTTAGTATGTGCCATTGTGTGGATTGGTGATAGTTTCAAGGAAAACAGGTCATAGACATGTGGTTTTCTTCTCTCCCTGGATTCTGTGTCCATGACTGGGAAGTAGGAATGTTTCTTCATCTGCGGGAGTGAATCATTGTACAGACAGGGGTCTGAACATGGCCAGTACACAAATGTAACAAGTACTTTCTCATTAAAACTGTGAAACGCATGACCTCACAGGAAAAGGTGTAGAGCAGAGCAGAAATTCCAAATCCTGTGGGTATGAGATATCAAAGCATAAGAATTATCTGTAAACACAAGCATGTAAATAAGAGCACTTCAACTATACGGGTAGCATGCATCTGTGTACAGAGCACTGATGCGACCTGCTTTCCCTGAAACTACCACCCATCCACGCAACGGCACCTACTAAGTCGATTTGTATTTACAGTATTGCATCCCCAATGAGGAAGCAGGAAACAGCACCAGAATTTCAGAATTTCTTCTTCTGGGGCACTCAGAGGACCCAGAGCTGCAGCCCCTCATCTGTGGGCTCTTTCTCTCCGGGTTCCTGACCACAGTGCTCGGGAACCTGCTCATCCTCCTGGCCATCATCTCCAAACCTCAACTGTATATGCCCATATCCTTCTTCCTCTCCAACCTGTCCTCTGTGGACATCAGCTTCATGTGCACCCATGTGCCCAGAACGTTGGTGAGCATCCAGACCCACAGCCAGGTCATTACCTATGCAGGTTGCATCGCCCAGATATACTTTGTATTTCTCTTTGCAGAGCTGGACAACTTCTTCCTGGGTGTCATGGCTATTACAGGTTCGTAGCCATCTGTCATCCCCTGAGTTACACGGTCGTCATGCACCCATTGCTCTGTGTGGTGCTGGTGCTGGTGTCCTGGATGGCGAGCTTCTTGCACACCTCATGGAAAAGCCTCGTGGTGCTGCATCTGTCCTTCTGCACAGAGCTGGAAGTCCCACACTTCTCCTGTGAACTCAACCAGGTGGCCCAGCTTGCCTGTGCTGAGAATGTTCTCAGTGACCTTGTGGTGCACTTGGTACCTGTGCTGTTGGGGACTGGCTCCCCGGCTGGCATCCTGTACTCTTACCCTAAGATCGTCTCCTCCATATGTGCTGTCACTTCAGCTCAGGGGGGCATAAAGCCTTTTCCACCTGCACATCTCACCTCGCAGTGGTCTCCTTATGTTATTGCTCAGGTCTAGGTGTGTACCTTAGCTCTGCACACAGGAGCTCACACTCAAGTGCAACAGCCTCGGAGATGTACACTGTGGTCAGCCCCATGCTGAATCCCTTCATCTACAGCTTGAGGAATAAGGATGTCAAGAGAGCTCTGAAAAGACTTTCTGAATAAAACCTGTAAAAGAAGATGCTGCCCAGAGCCTGAGCAATGCTCTTGGCTGCAGGACTTTGGAAGCTTCCAAGTCTAAACCTGATTCACGGATCAGATCATGAGCACAGGAATCGCTCAAGGTATTTCTCCCAGGACTTCGACTGCTACAATTCCAACGTCCCCGTGTGACTTAGTCAACTAGTGCTTTCAGATTTTCTAAAAGCTCATGGTTTTTTCCTTTTGCTTTTCCAGATTCCCAGCATTATTCCAAGCATTGCACCAGAAGTATTTGGAAATTCTCACATACCTGAGTAATCAGCAAGGATGTCTTAGAGGCAACTTCTTCCTGTATTGCATCTCTTATTGCATAATGTTTCTTTCATTTTACTGAAGAGCTCGTGATGGGATTTGCTTCACATCTGGAAAAAGTTACCTTGGAAACTGGTGCAATTTATCTAAAGCTGAGGTCAGTACTTTGCTTCTTCGGGAGTCATGCCTGTGTGTATCAGGGCTTTAATTGCTCTTTTTGATAATGTGGACTTCAACATGTTAGTGCATTGTATGGGTACTCGTTTGGGGCTTTACACTTTTTAGTTTTAGAACACTACATAGTATCAATGCATATTTATGAGAGACAACACGGCGTATGACTCATGCATATGTTAAAGAGCGGTGAGCCCGGCTTGTTGACATATCTGTCACTTTCAGTCTTAATCATGTCTTTATAGTGAGTTAGTTCTAGGGTCCTCTGTCTAACGATTTTGATACATACAGTGCTTTACTGCTGACTGTGGTCACCCCAGGGCGCAGTGGAGCACCAGAATTCTGCCTTCCATCTGACCGTCCCATGGTTCTCACACTCAGGACCTGGCTAGTTTTTCAGCTCCATGTCCAAAGCGCTGACCAGAGCCATGAGCAAAACAAGCCTCTAGAGACACCGACTCCTCCATTTTTCTGGGGCAGAGGGCTTTGAATGCTAGATGACATTTCTGCCCTCATAACAGTGTGGGAACAGGGAGTGGATTGGTGGTTCTTTTAGGTCAAGGACAGGAAAGGGAAGAAGGCAGGGAGGCTCTCCAAAGGCCAGCGCTGAGCCTCTCTGCAGAGCTGTCCTGTGTGGTGACTGTAATCAGCGTCTGTACCTTGGGTGTGACATTGTACCACAGTGTTATGAGATGTTACTGTTGGGAAAACTGAGTAAACCATTCATGGATCTCTCAGGCTTAGTTTGTACATATGCATGTTAACCTACAATGATCCCCAAATTAAAGTTTAATAAGAATTATCAATGATACAGTAAACATTCACGAAGGTTTTCTTGACATATAGAGATTACGACATCTTTCTTTTCCCCTTTGAACTTATTTCTTTTATATATTTTAAGACACAGAGACTAACCTACCTTATGTTTAAATTAATATTCACATATTTTATTATAGTTAAAGCAAAGAAGGAAAAGTGAATGATTTCATCCACTAAAAATGATGTTGTACCTTGTGTCCTTCTAGACAGTGTGGTACAATACAGGTCCTTACGATGGAGCTTGTTTATCTCATCTGTGTTAGAATACTGGGCGATAAAATAAACAGAATTTCGACAACTGAGAAAACAGTGACTTCTGGTATTCCATTGTTACCGCTTTTTCTGTTTTGGGGAGGCAAAGAGGGAAATGGCACACATGAGAACTGTAGAAGGGAGACTTCTGCAGTAACCGAGCACCTCCCCCTCCGCCCTTCATCTCGTCAGCTCCCTCTGGATGCCACTGCACTGTGGGAATTACCTCCTTTTCTCCTCCACTGAGATTACTTCATATTCCCAGTCGCTTTCTTTTAGGACACTGAGTACTTTCCCTTCTTTATGAAGGTCAAACAATGCTAGGTTCATAAAGACCGCAATCCATCCTGTCTGCACAATTTTGCCTGGAACATTCAACTAATTGTGTTTTGAAACTGATTATGTGTGTTAAGGTGACATTCTGACTAATCATAGACGTTCCCAGGGGCCATCACACCCACACTCACACACACCCCAGATTTGTTTGACAACCCATGCAGGAGCACCCTAAATAAACTGAGATGGAAAACTGGTTAAGTAACACGGTGTTTCTCTGGAGATCTGGCTTGAGCCAAAGCCTTGAAAGATTTTTCTTGAGTTAGAAACTTTTCATTCTTTTTCTCTGTTTAAAGTTTCCTCATTTACATATTTAATAGAAAAAATACTTGGAAAAGAGAGACAAAAAGCAAAACAGACAAGCAACAATAACAACAAACCCTAAACAGTCACAGTATAGATTTTCAAATCCAGATGATGGGAATTTAATAACAGGTGTAATATTGCATATTGTGACCTCCAAATGGGTTCTTAGATTACCAGATGCAGACACGTAAAGTAAGGCTAATCCTGGGAGCACCAACTGTTCTCTTCCAAGAACTAACACCGTCTGTGGTGCACTCCTCTTAGCTCTCATATGTATATACACACAAATTTCTGTCTCGAGCCTTCTCCTTCTTGTGGACCTTGAACAGAAACTGCAAAAGCAGGCATCAGAGATTGTGCAAAAGGAAGGACAGTGTGTGGGATGCAACGAAGCCCTGGGACAGGGCTCCCCAAACTTACCTCTGCACCAGAATCCCGGGAAGGCCTGCCCTGAAAGCAAATCTCAGTGCAGAAATGTCAAAAACTGGCCAGAAGTCATTTGCTCAGGGGAAACGCTAGATTTGCCTGCCATGTCATGGAGGATCCTGAAAACACCAAGTAGCAACTCACACCTGGATTCAGACTTGGGCGGTGCCCAGCAGTGGTCAGAGGAGCCCCCAACTGTGCGCTTGCATTTTTGATGAAAATGGTGTCACACCTAACTACTGAATTTTAGCACAGCTTCCTGTACAGCAATAGTCAAGTGATACAATAATCAAAAGAAAAAGGAACTGAGGATAATTAAAACCATACGCCAATAATCTTGAAATTTATTTGTATATTTAGTGACAAGATTCATAATGACCCTGCTATGCAGCTTATTTAAAGTAACTGTACTACATGGTGACTGCAGTGAGATTCCACCCCAGACACGGTGGAAGGACACGCCTGTGTGCACAGGGAGTGGGTGACTCTGAGTCCCACGACTGGGCTGAAGACACAGTCCTGTGTCAGCCAGAACATAAAGACTGGACTATTCCTGGGGGAAAGGAGATGCACAGGGCCGGGGTTAGCTCAGTGACAGGGCACTGCTAGCATGCATGAATCCCTGGGTTTGATCACCAGCACTGGAAAGGGGGAAAAAAAGAATATATACAGGATAATATTGATGAGGGTTCTCATTTAGAGTGAGGGACAGTATCTGTATTCAGATCTAGACATTCTGACCAACAGAACAAAGAAGGTAACTCAGTGTAACAATAATGTGTACCAACCAACTGTGAAGTCAGATTATTAAATTCTCTTCACCTGGACAATGCTTCACAATACACCGGGAAGGAACAGAATACAGACTCAAAATCATTTTCCAAAGCAATACACTCACCGACTTCAAAAATTTATTGGTCATATTAGAGGTCATTCCAGACTCTAAAGTCATATGGAATCAATCAATTTATTCAAATTTGTAGCTGACTTTAATTGCCAAGTATAATTGTCCTCTACTAACAGCAAAATCCTTCAAAGTTGCTGTAGAACACAAAAGATATAAATTGAACATGATACGCTATTGTATAACAATTTTTCATAAGCAGTCTGCTTTGTTCCAGGGCAGACATGAGAATTTCCAAACACTTCCGATCCAAGAAGGGGAACAAGTTTGGGGGAGTAATAAAAGGCACTAGAAAGAAGAGAACACTTAATAAAGTGATTTAATTAAATTATCTAGAGAACTACATCAAAGAAATGGAAATTACAGGCGGTAAAGGGAAAAACGTCTTGCACAATCTGATCAAAGGATCAAAATTCTGACTCCAAAATTTGAGGCCCGAAATGAGAAGCATTTCTACCGAGGTGGGCCAGCTGGTCCTCTGCTCGTTGCCCTCCCAAGAAGTCCTCTCAGCGCTCTCTTGATGTCTTCGTTCCTCAGACTGTAGATGAAGGGGTTCAGCATGGGGGTGACCACGGTGTACATCAGCGAGGGGACTGCAGTAGAGCGCCAGTCTTGGGTGACAGCAGAACTCAGGTACACGCCCAGGAGCGTGCAGTAAAACAGGGAGACCACCGAGAGGTGAGAGGTGCAGGTGGAAAACGCTTTGTTCTTCCCCCGAGCTGACGGAACTGCACGTATGGAGGAAATTATCTTAGAGTAAGAGAACAGGATGCCAGCGAGGGGACAGATAGCCAGCAGCACTGCAGTAACATATATGGCCATGTCATTGAGAAAGGTGTCAGAACAGGCACGGTGGACCACCTGATCCAGTTCACAGAAGAAGTGTGGGATTTCCAAGTGGCTGCAGAAGGACAGACGCAAAGCCATGAGGGTGTGTAACAGGGAAATCAGGACACCCATGATCCAGCAGGCTAGAACCAACAACAAACAGAGCCAGCGGTGCATGATAACCGTGTAGTGCAGGGGGTAGCAGATGGCCACGTAGCGGTCATAGGCCATCACCGTCAGCAGAAAGATGTCCAGCCCTGAAAAAAGCATCCAAAAGTACATCTGGGTGATGCAGCCTGCGTAGGAAATGAGCTGGCTGTGGGTCTGGGTGTTCACCAGCATCTTGGGCACAGTGGTGGAGGTGAAGCCCACATCCACAGAGGACAGGTTGGAGAGGAAGAAGTACATGGGCGTGTGCAGGTGGGGGTCGGAGACGATGGCCAGGAGGAAGAGCAGGTTCCCGAGCACCGTGGTCAGGTACATGGAGAGGAAGAGCCCGTAGAGGAGGGGCTGCAGCTCTGGGTCCTCTGAGAGTCCCAGAAGGAGAAATTCTGAAGGCCACGTAACATTTCCTGGTTCCATGCTTTGGGTATAACTTCCAAAATAAGAATGGAGTGAGAAAAGCAGCATTACCAAAGGATGCATGACTCACCTCCCATGAATGTTAGCCTTTTTGCACTAAGGTGGGTAGAACTCAGGGCCTCTCACTTGCAAGTTAGGGGCTCTTGCTACTGAGCTACACTTCCATCCAGATCTCCTAGAGTCAGGAAAATAATTTCTGTGTTTTGCATAGATTTTTACCCTTTAGCAGATTCCAGCTACAGTATAATGTCTCATTAAGAAGTTCTATCTCATGAGCAAAGTGTCAATATTGTAAGAATTTATTGAAAAAAACATATGTTTGAGGAATATAAATTGACAATGGCCCATGTTCAAGGCATTGTGTCGAAAATCAATGAACAATGAAGGAGCCATGGCTCCAGCAAGAGGTGCATGCCCCAGGGAGAGAACAGCCAGCATCTCCCAAGATCCACACTATGTTGGAACTTAGGGTGCTGGGAAACAAAGGAACCTGCTCGCCTCCCTGGTAGGCAGCCGTGAACCTACCGGTGTGTGGGCTGAGAATCAAACATCCCCGCCAGGTTAGCAAACAAGAGCCAGAGGTCTGCGCACCTCTTTGGAGGTTGACCACATGCAATACAGCAAACACGGGGGATTTCCTTCTACCATCTCTTTGAAGGCAAATATTGTTATCACTGTTTTGCTTTGTTTTGATTAATTGCATGGCTCTATTCAATACTCTGTTTTGATAGGTTTTATAATGTTCTGTATTTGGTATGATTTTGTTGTACCTGATTGAAAGAACAACTATTGTGAAGATAAGGAGATATACTATGGTACCTATTCCTGTTATCCCCGTATCCTGCTCTAAAGTTGTGGAACAATTTCACTGCATTGTCTCAATTGGCTTTATTCTGTCTTTTCCTGTTGTATTTTACTCCCTTCAAAATAAGAGAAGGTTAAAAAAACAATGAAGGAAAGCAAAATCTCTACAGTAAAATGATAGACGGGGTATAAACAGTTTTGTAAAACTCTTATGTCTGATGATGCTAAGTGCTGTTTTCCTGACCTTTTCCCAGGAACAGTCAGCTTGTAAAGAGAGAAGATGATGTTGGCTCGGGTTTTGAATGATGCGCTGGCCCCACAACACTGGGAAGCACAGAATTCTCAGCAGGAGTGAATGGGAGAGAATATCCACACCACATCATGAGCAGGAGGGAAAAGAAAGTGGAAAGTGGGCTGCAGGTCTGAAGTCTCCTTCAAGGATGTGCCCCCCTAGGAGTATAAAGACCTCTCCCGAAGCCCATCTCCACCCACTGTACCACCTCCCAGTAGCTCTACCTTGGGGATCACCCCTGTAATGCATGTTGGTTACAGGACGCTTCAAGATCCAATTGTAGAAAATGTGGTGAAAACAGATGGAAAGGAGAGTTGGTGGGGTTCTGTGTTTGCTGGTTATTCCCAGAAGACCAGGGACAAAGTGACATTTGCACAGAAACACCCAGAAAGACAGGTGGGGAGCAGGAGGGCTTCGGGGGCTGTGCACTGCTCCCAGGAGGAGCAGAGGGTCAAAGGCGCTGGAGAAGATGCTTCTCTCAGGAGCTCAGCACTAACAAGAAAGCCCTGTGACCAGGGAGTGAGAGGGGCCACCTGTGACACAGAACGAGGACTGACCTGTGTGCAGAGGCGTCTGCTCCTCCACTGGACGTGGAAGTGGAAAGGTCACTGATTCCAGGGTGAGAGGCCAGCTCTGCTGCAAGCGAGACCTCGTCTCTGGGAGAGAAAAAGGTCGCAGGTGTGGGTCTGTGCTGGTGTTTATTGGGGTGCCTGAGGCCTTCACTCCTGCACCCAACTCCTGCTTTTGACTCCTGGCACCCAGAACAGTGTGCAGCCTTATTGCTGCTGAAAGTTCAGGACAAGAGGCGGCTCTCTTTCCAGCTGCTGTAATGTTTGCTTTGATTGGTAGAGTCAAAATCCCCCAGGCTCTGACATACGCCCTTGGTTACCTCCCGTGCTGCCTTCAGTTCTGGCTTCTGTTTGTGAAGGGTGGACCAGCCCCTCTCCTCGGAAGCCTGCACTCACTCCTGAGTTACTAGTTCACACACACACACACACACACACACACACACACACACACACACACACACACTGAGCACATCAGGCTTAGATGCAGGAATCACAGTGAGGACTCCTGTGTAAATAACACGGTTTTCTCACACCGGGCACATATTACATATTACAGAGGGACTGACATTCAGCAAGCTGTCGCCATCAGATGAATTTCCATTCATTTTCCATTCCAGAGGGCTGTGGTTTGCCCTCTGTCTACAGAAACATTTTAAAAGCATAAAACATCCACTCAACCAACAGAGCACACAGAACGGAATGAACCTGAGGGATTAAAACGGTGTAAAGATTCAGGTGACTTATGGGAGGGCAGGAGCAGGAAGCCTCTTCCTCAGCTGTGCAACCTTCCCGCTCGCCTTAACCCAGGACCAGAGACAAAGGGCAGCAACAAAGGCGTCCAGGAGAAACGGTTCTACTGTGCTTTTAGTGTCCAGCGTCTACAGACTGAACAGCTCAGGAGAAAAGTGGGCAAAAGGAATAAGCCAAGCATTCACAAGGGAAAAACGGACGAAGAGCTTCTGGTTTTAAGCATTTCATAAGAAATGAAGACAGAGCTCCTCTGTCCGTTCCGCGTTTGTCTGGAGGACTCGTGTGTATCTGGTCCCATTGTAACTCAAGAATCCCATCTGTGAATTTTTACTTCCAGCATTTACTCCCTGTCCTTGTGAGGCTTTGGGTTTTGATCTGTCTGTCTTCCTCTCTCTATGTCTCTGTCTCGCTCTCTTTCTGTCTCTGTCTCTATTTTTGCAAATGCTCATCGATGTGCTGCACTGAAGTCTGCATTCTGATCATTCCCAAAGAGCATGTGTTTCCCCGTGTTCTGCATAACTTCTATGTGGTGGCACCCTGGAGTCTGTTCCTTCACACTGAAAACCTTCCTCAGTGTGATTAAGCCCGGAGGACATCAGGGCACACACACCCATCCCCTCACAGAGTGGCTCTGCCTTTACACTTCTAGATTCAAATGAGAGAATTTTACACACATGTTCTGTTTTGTATTTCCACAAGTAACTCCTGGGTGCCAGGAATACAGGTGCTGTGTACAAAGCAAATTTAAGGAAAAGGAGAAGCTATGAGAGAAACAGTGAGACGGGGAGACTAAAGCAGGTCACACAGAGCAGTGTAAAAACATTGCTATTAAAGATGCAAAATGGTTATGGATAAGAACCACAGTAACCAAAGACCTGTAAGAAACTAACATACAGCTGAGTTAAAGTATCTGCATATATCATTTTAGGCGGATGTATTTCAGGGGTACACAGGCTCCGATTCAATCTCCAACACCAGAAAAATCAATAATTCTTTCTAACTGTGTATGTGTTAAATGTATTTCAGAAACAAACACAAGCTTTATTCAAATGAATGCAATGTCTTCTAGGTGATGACCAGAATAATGTGCCTTGTAAAAATAGATCAGGAAAAATTCAAATATGTATATATTTCCACCAGCAACTTACACACAATTTTAAAAGCTAAAAGGCAAACAGTGAAGGTGGTAAAAATCCCCAATTCATATGTGTGGAGAAAAGCAGTTGTGGTATTGTGTGTTTCTTCCTTTTTTTGTAAGACTCTCTTTGGTTTACACCTTCTCCCCTGAATAACTGAAAATATAATACGTAGTATACTGAGTATTGTTATCCTAAAATCATTTTGTTATGAATTTTAGTTTTTCATAAAATAAAACCAGAAGTGTCATTAAAAAGAGTACTCCCCCCCCACTGTGCAAAAGCGAAGATTTTACAGGGACAGTCTGCTATACAGGGAATTGCTAACAAACCCACAGATACATTCAGGGTCAGCAGCGAGAAAATAACTTCCAGCAAAGTTTATTTCCACAATATCCTTTTTAATCTACTAAAGGTTCTCATCTGACTTCTCACATGAGGGAAATAACTGAAAATGTGGACAGTACCTGCTGTACCGATACTGCAAGGTTGGATCTTCAAGGATAACTCTGGTCCAGAACTCTCCGATGCAAAGCTGCTACAAATGAAACACAGCCTACAGTGCACATCATAAAGACGAGGAGAAACAGCACACGTCAGACTCTGTCCCCGCACAGGGGACGGCCTGTGTCTACACTCCAGGGATGGCAGGGATCCCTGGACATATTCTCAGAGTTAACTGGAGCATCGTTATTTCTTCCATCCCACTTTTAATTCAGCTTCCGCGTCTACCACTTAAAGGTGAGCGATTACCCTTCACCTTGGACACAGGCTGGAGACCTGGAGATGGAGACTGAAGCTCTGGCCCCAGACAAGACGGCAGCAAAAGTGAAGCCAAGATCCGCAAACCAGGACAATCCGTTTAGAAAAGCACCTTGCCCGCTCAGGGCTGCATATTCTGCAAGACAGTCAGCGCCAGAGATGTTCATGTCTCCCAGCAGATTCTCCCTTGGGCATCAGCAGCTCCCTCTTGTCCTTCCAACCCCCGTGGGACGCTGCTCCATACAGAAAATGTTCTCTGAAGATGCTTTGTGACAAGAGCTCAGGTGAAAAAAAAAATCCAGGTGAATGCAGACTTCACTCCCCCTTTGCAGTAAACTCTCTCACTTTTGAGAGGTCTAAACTAAACCTTGTCCCAATCCTGTGTGCGGGTTCCAGTCAAAGTCTAAAATCAAGGAGCCTGTCCGACATCACCGAAGCTTCCATTTTTGCCATGGACACGTTCATGTCTTCCACAGCTTGCAACATATTCAGTAGAGAGGAAAATCGCTTATCAAGTATATGGCAATTATAAGCAATTTTCAGACTTTTAGCCACACTTCCTTGATATTGCAATTGATAATGACATCATTTAAGTTTTATAAATGTCCATTTTAGTGGCCAATACCACTAAGAACCTTTTTCTAACTTTGCAGCTCTTGGGCTTACACGATCTATGTGGATCTGTGG